CTGTTATTCGCCTGAAAAGAATGTTTTCAAGGACTGAAAAAGTTACAGAACAAACCTTTCACTAGGAATAACAACTCCCAAGAATTAAGCGTACTGAAAGGATTACGGAGTGTTTAGTGAAAATTGGGCTGATCCCGCTTGGCTGAGGGCTGACCTTGGGGCCAGAGGACGAGGAGGCTGGGGCCCCCCTTCAGAGTGAGGAGTGACGGAGGAGATGGGGTGGAGGTGGGATGTAGAACACATACGTGAGGGAGAGAAGGGGATCGCTGCAGTATTTATAGTGTTTTAAGAGAGGAAATGATATCAGGAGTTGGTTGCTAATTACCGACAGCGGAGTCTGATGGAACTCGGTTGTCATCTCTTCTGAACGTTCGTTACAAACTTCATTTATTTGTAAACAAAAATTCGGGAGAGAGGCAGAGGGGACTGAAATCGCGGAGGAGCTTCTCTTCACAGAGAAGCCCGTGGGCCTGGGACAACCTCCTGGGCCACACTCTGGCACAACCCGGGAGGCAGCAGAGGCAGGTTCTGGGGTTGAGGAGCAACGCAGCCAATCTGCAATCAAACAGGCTAAGGAGCTGAACAGCCTCTTCAGCCACAGCCTTCTTAGTGCTCAAGACTGAAGCAGGACCTCTGGGCTCGTTCTGTGGTGCGAAAGACCTGGCTGATCAGGGAGGAAGTTAATTGTGCATTGAGTTTTATTTGTCTCTCCACAATGCGAAATTAACTCACATTTTAATTCCATATGTCAGTTCCATATGGGTGTGTGTGTGGGGGGGGCATTGATGGTACCTCAGAAAAGTGGTCCTTTTGAAACTCCTGATCTGTTCCCTTGTTCAATGTGTTAATCTGATGGATGAGTGCGCAAGTTTAATTTTATTTCATCCTGACTCCCTCTGAATAATTGCATTAAACACTCCAGGCTTTGCCAAACCATTTGCCTCCCGCGAGCTTCCTACTGTTTCTCCCAAAGCGGTTAAAAAAAAGAGCCCAAGATGGGACGCCAAAACTTCGTGCAGCACTGCCCGTGGTTCAGCTTTGCTATAAACGGGAAATACTTCCGCGGAAAAAGTTCATTGTGCTTTTAAACTGTATACGTGTTCTTTCTATCTGATTTTCTGCGTGTCAGTAGTAAAGAAATAGGCAACATCCCTTTGGATGATAAATAGGAGCTTCATCACTGTTATAACTGCAAGGTAGTTTAGAATTCCTAGCACGTGAGCCACTCGCGTTGTAGTACAGCAGTAGCTCATATCCATAATGTCCCATGTCCTGAGCGAACAATGTATGTTTGTATGTAGTTTCTAGCCCTTTATCTTCAAGTGACAACTTGGCACCAAACGGCATGGCACACAGACGTCTTTTGACACCTTTTGTAAGCTTGATTTCCCTAATTGGCTCCATGTAGCTTTCAGCACACTGCCTGATGAGCTTGGGGTGGAGGTACAGTTGTTATCACACTGTTAACTCTGGTCTCCATTCTTACTTTTAACATACACAGCACGCAGATGGTGGCGCACTCCTCTGTCTTATCCTTTTGTCTAGATTAGCATATGCGATGCGATACGACAGTTTTCCCCCCCACTTAACAGGTCGTGGTCTCATACAGTGATGTCACACAGATCTCTTCCATGAGGTGGTGTCACTTTGTCGCGAGGAATCGGGTTAGGATTCTGGACTCCTGCCTGGTGGGTCTTTGAGTCGTGTTCTAGTTGGGGACCCTACTGCGACAGCCTTAGGCATGGAAATGTCAGCAAACCCAGTTGCATATACTGGTGCCAAAAATGGGATAAAAACAGCCAATTTAATAATAGCAAATTGGTATTGTG